GTTTTTCAAAATAGTTTAAAAAGTAATTTCCAATTAAATTTTGTAGAAAAATTTATAATAATAGTGTATAATATTATTAATTTTTTTTGGCTTAAATATTCCATTAATTCCTTGGTTTTAATATTTTTATTTGTTTAATTTTAATATAAATAGAAATGTATTAAAAGTTAAGCTACTGTTTACTATCGAAAAATAAATAACCACATATGTGGTCGTTCACATGAAAAGAGACCACTTTGTCGGTTTTAGATTCCGAGATATTTTAAATTTACTAAATTTGAAGAAAAATTTTAATTTTATTATTTCTTTTTATTTGGTTTTGGGTTTTGTCACGTTGAATTATAGTTATCATGAATTTACCGCTTCATTAAGTATTTATTTTCTTCAAATAAAAAACAGAAAAGGTACCACTTTGTCGTTCTGTTGCAAAAATTACAATTAACATTTATCTTTTTTGGAAGTAAAAAAATATATAAATTATTAATTTGTCATTCTAAAAATGTTTTTGATTAAAAAAAATTATAATCTGTTTCTTTTCCTAGATGAAACAGAAATTTTGACACTTTAACTTTAATTTCGTTTTTGTCAAAATAAGATTTTTGATATTTTTTGACATTATTTATAATAGAAAAGTTAAACGAATTATTAATTCTATTTTTTATAATAATTTAGTACTTTAAATTTAACTATTGACAATGTAAAAAATCCAGTAATTCATTGAAAATTGAATTTTTAAGAAAAGAGATCGCTTTGACAAATGTTCGATATTGTAAAAATGGAGAAGGGAGAAAATTTGAATCCTACTGATTTTTCATGTAAAAAATGTTTTTGAACAAAAATAACTCTCATCTGAATAACTTTCTAGAAGAACCAAAAATATTTACAATACAATCTTTAATTATTCTTTTTTCTCGAAAGTTAAAGGACGTCTACATATTGAGGCTGTTTTCACTGAGTGGAACAAATTTATTCTTTGCTAAGAATAAACATAAAAGTTATATTTACGTCTGCGCAGAATACCTGAAAAAGGTGATCAACTAGTCATAAATCACCTTTTTTATGATTTATGATTGGTGGATATTGTTATTCAAGTGTTCTGCGCAAAAGCAAATACATTGTAAAAACCTTTTCATTTATTTTCCGCGAAGAATAAAATTTGGCTCTGTGGAAACAGCCTCATTGTCTTCTAAATTATTATTTGCTCATATTGCATACTTTTTGAAATATAAGAAATGGTATCCAAAGCAGATGATGTTAAATTAGGACACATGTTAAAAACAGAAATTTTTTGAAAAAGTGCATTAATTGAAAATGATCAGTATCAAGACTTTGGTAAATCAATTTGATTATATCAATAATTTAGTTTATCTGTGCAAAATAATATTTATGACATTCAAAGGAACATTCCTAAAGAGAAAGAGACTAGTACGGCAAAAAATATCGATTTTTGTAGATTTTACAGTGAATTTATAAAAAAATCTTCTTTCTTTAGTTTTTTAAAGACATAGAAAGTTTAAAGGCTTTGAAATATGGTTTCATATTATTATTTAAAAATGTCAAATACATGAATTTTTTTTATGTTTTTCGTTTACTTTAACCCTATGGGGTGCCAAAAAAATTTAATTCCCTTTTCTTAAAACCTTTTTGTCCAAAGGGCCTATTGGAAGCGCCTTCCATCAGGACACCCTACTGAAAATCCCTTGTACAATTTCCTGTACAGGATCAGCAACTGAGATGTGTGAGATCTTGTACAAGATCTGGTGCAAGATCTTGTACAAAAAAGATAATTGTACAAGAAAATGTACATGATCTTGTACAATTTCATGTATAAGTACTTGTACATGCACACGTTCATGTTCTTGCACATGTATAGTTGTAAAATTTTTTTTTTTTAATAAAATTTGAGATTTTGATAATTTTTAACCACTAAGATTCGTAACTCATGCATGCTAAAAACTATTGCGCAGCTGTAAAGGTTAAAGTAAACTATTGCGCAGCCTTTGAAGTTTTTAATTTTTAGTAAAGAAAAACATGAATTAACATGTTGCAAGAACATGGACGTGTTCATGCACAAGTACTTATACATGAAATTGTACAAGATCATGTATTTACATTTTCTTGTACAAGGCCTTGCACCAGATCTTGTACAAGATCTCACACATGAACTTGTTCCAAATTCGTATGCATTTTTCTGTACAGGAACTGGTCAGAACTTGTACAAGTTCACTTGCTGATCCTGTACAGGAAATTGTACAAGATCTTGTACAGGGATTTTCAGTAGGAAAAGAACTTGAACGTTCTATGGTTAAACAATTTTGAAATTTTTTATAAATTTTTAAGCTTATTTGATAATATTTTTAAACATTTTACAAAGTTTTAATTGAGAAAATTTTTTTAGTTTAAATAAAAGCATATAGGTATTTTTCTTATTTTATTATATTATTACAAAACCATTTAAGGTATCACATCGGCACTAATCGGAGTCAAAAGTTTGTAGCTCGCATTACTACTTCCCGCAGTATACTTTCGCCCTCAACTCCCTATACTCTCAGCCCATACTGTACCTACTTCTACAAATACACTCGTACACGTATACCCCACACTAGCAGCGATTGGAAGGAGTAGGAGGTTTGACAACGTCGCTATAAGTCTCGCTTTGACTACTGTGGACTACTGTCTCTCTCTAACTAATGTTACCATCCTGCGATGTTGCCACATCAAAGTGGCGGGTGTGCTATATATTGCAAATGACGTCATGAAATAGAATTTTTAATTTATAATTACAAATAAACGGCACGGTAAATTATAAATTTTTTTGTATATTTTAGTTCCAAATTTATTCGTGAATTCAACATTAGTTTTTGAAAAAAATTTATAGAAAACTTCTGATGATATTTATGAAAATGTACTTCTCCCCCATACATTAGTCCCGTCTCCCATGCAAAATAAGCAACTTTGATTGCTAATATCTCTGGTTTCGTACGGCGAAAATTCTTCATATTTTGCAAATTTGTCAAGAATGATAATAAGAACATATGGTAAAATTTTCAAGAAAATCTATAGAAAACGGTTTTACCGATGTGATACCTTAATGCATAAAATACATCATTTTTTCTGAAAAATTTGTAAATAAATATTTTCAAATTGTTTAAAAGTAATTGTTATTATATGACACTAACCTTCTTAATATTTACCAGACTCAAAATCGAAATGTCTTAAAATTGACTTTAAATTTCAGAAAATTTTTATTGCACGAAAATATTTGTACGAGTTTTGTACATTCAAATTTGACTGTTGGTCAATTAAATTTCTACCTTATCAGATATCATTAGGTTAATGAAATACTTAATAGGACAAAACCTATTTTCCATCGTAACTACAATATTAAATTCAAAACAAAATTACCATCCTCACTAGATATTTTCTAAGTTGTTAATATTGACGTTGAAAAGTCGTGTGCATGGTTTCTGAATTGAATGGAATCGGGTCTCTCTGTAGCTCAATTGGTAGAGCATCTTACCGGCAATAAGAAGGTTCTGGGATCATACCCCAGCAGCGAGAGGCGATCCACTTTTTAGAAACTATGCACGAAAATATTTGTACGAGTTTCGTACATACAAATTTGACTGTTGGTCAATTAAATTTCTACCTTATCAGATATGATTAGGTTAATGAAATATTTTATAGGAAAAACCTATTTTCCATCGTAACTATTCATAAAAAAATTAATAAATTCCTTCTCTTCTTCTACCACTGCAGGTGCGAATTGTCGGTCGGGCGACGGTTGAGCCAAGCATGTGAATAGTCGGCCATCCTCTAATAGCCGATGATCAGATCAACTAGCGAATTGATAACGTCAGTGGATTAAGAGTTGACACAGTTAAGGCAACTATGGGTACCATAAGTCGGGCCAACCAAGGCTGACATAGTTAGGCCGACCATCGAAACAATGTTAGTCATAGTTAAATCAATCATGGGTAGACCAACCAACTCTGACAACCGATCAAAATTCGCACCTTGGATCATGAAGTGCTGAGAGTTTCCTGGTATAGCCTAAAACTCGTTATATGAGGGGCCAACGAATTTCATACTTATTCCATTTTTGATCTTACCCCTTCAATATTCTTTCAATTAAAATTAAAATCCTCAATGAATTTTTACTAATTTAAATAAGTGGTATTTGTTTGCCACTGATTTCCATAAAATAATGTGTCGTCCAAATCAATATTTTTGTACATTTAATTTACATATAAATTTGTTTATTGTTGTTTTAATTTCGATCCACCTAATACTTTTTAATTTTGTCTGTAGGTCAATTGAAAGGATACAGATCCCGTCATACAGCTGAAGAAAGGGCTACCTGTATATGTGAAATCTTCGAAGCTGTATTTAATGAAAAGATACAAAGATAACCCGATGAATTTGGCTCGAGCACTATTATTTGAATTAATTCATAAAGACAAATTAAAAACTATGTGTGCTTTAGGACATAGTAAATCGAGAACTGCGGTTCGTGAAGATATCAGAGCCGCCATTGTCCGTGAGCACAATTCATAATATATATAGAACCTAAATAATTATAAAATAATATATTAAAATTTTTTAATAATTGATAGAGTTTAAATAATAAGATATTGACGTGAATGAAAATAACTGACTAAATAATGCATTTTTTCAGTTTATTTTCCAGTTTTTAATTTATCTATTTTTATTTAGTTTACGTATTATTATGATAATAGTTATTTATTTCTTTTCCTCTTTTATTATTTATTTATTTTTCAGATTACGTAAACAGGAAGAAAACGGTTCCTAAAGAGTTCACGAACGAAAATATGATAAGATTGATAAATTCCACCTGCGGTATTCTCAAAAATCCTAATACGGGAGCAAAAAAAGGAAAGAATAAAAAAAAAAAAAAAGAAAAAAGTAAACAAATAAACCGCAAAAAAGCTAATGTAAAGAATGGTAAAGGAGAGCAAAGGGAAAATGAAAATAACAGTATGGATACGGAAGAGAATTGCGAAGAAGAAAATATCAGCAACAAGCAAGAAAGAAGGGAACATGAAAGTTTAGATGATGAGTGCTATGGCGGCAATATGGAAGAAAATAAGAAGCCTATAAATAACTACGAGAACCACAGAAAAATTATAATAGAGGGAAGCGAAGAAGAAGAAAGCGATGATGACAAAAGCAGTGTGGAAGATAACAGCGAAGGAGAAGAAAATGAAAGCAGCGAAGAGGTACCAGATATGGAAGAGCAAAGAAAGGAACAAGATATAGAAAATGATGAGGAAGATGAAGATGATGAGAACAGTGGTAAAGAAGAAAGTGAAGAAGAAGATGGGAACTGAGAAACATTAGATTGAATACTAATTGTAAAAGTTTACATGAATTAAATTGTTATTTTATATTCTTTTTTTTGGACCACCCATTGAGTATTCTCGCCAGAGGAGTAGAAAAACTGTAGAAAATCTAGTCTCCTGAGTATAACATATATTCTTTTATTCTTCTTAAATTATTTCTTGTTGATTATTAAGGTGGATGGGGAAGTGGGAACTTTAGAATAAAGCAACACTTTTATTCTGCAAATATGTGTGTTTATATTTCAAAGGTTTCCAATAGACTGAACTATCAAAATAGATAAGAAAAAGGTACGAAGTTAATCATTCGAGGTTGCCAAATGTAAATCAAAGTAAAAGGGCTGTTGCCAAATTTACGAAATATTTTCGACACTCCTTCTCAACAGCATTTTTACTAAGAAATGAAAGTTAAATAAATTAATAGCAACTCATCTCATTTATACATTTTACATGTTTGTTCCGATGTAAATTTTATGTTAGTACATCGGCTACCATTTCACTAGTGGGTATATACTCAATTTTAATGTTACCCTTTTCATACAGATCCCTAACGTGATGGAATTTAATGTCAATGTGTTTACTGCGTCCTTGTAAAATTGGGTTTTTTGCCAAACTATGAGCACTTTGATTGTCGCAATACAATAACACATTTTTTAATCCCATTTCATTTAACAATTGTTTAACATAATTTGCCTCTTTTGCTGCCATAGAAAGCGCGATGTACTCGGCTTCCGTACTACTCAAGGCCACTACACTTTGCTTCTTGGACTAACACGATATGGCCCCCCGCGCAGAAAAATACACAACCACTGTATGATTTTCTGTCTACGGCGTCGTTGGCCCAATCCGCATCCACATAGCCATGCACAAGTTGTCCAGTTGCTTGGTAATGCAATTTCATATCAGCTGTTCCTCGTAGATATCTCAATATCCGTTTTGGTGCAGCTTCGTGTTCACCATGAGGGTTGACGTTTCGTTGAGCGAGTTTTGCAACAGAGTGGAGAATATCTGTCCTTGTCGTGATGGCCAGATACATTAAAGATCCTATCAAAGATTGGTAACTTTTCTCGTCAACTTTTCTGCAATTTTGACTGTCACATTTGACTTGATAACCTGCTTCCAATGGCGTGGACACACTTCTACACGTTGACATCTTCCACTGACGAAGAAGATTCTCGATGTATTGCTTATGTCCTAAGGTAATACTGCCAGTTTCTCCTTCTCGTTCCACTTCGATTCCCAGGAAACACTTCAGTTCTCCACCGTCAACTACTTTGAACTCCTTCGCAATTGCATTTTTTAATTTCAACAAATCTTCTTTGCATGAACTCGCAAAAATAAAATCGTCCACATAAACTGCGATAAAATTTTGTTTACCGTCCTCGTTACGGACATAAAGTCAGGGCTCACTAACACATGGAGTAAAACCGAGTTTTTTCAGGACTGCGTCCAGTTTTGTATTCCACTCGCGGCCACTTTGTTTTAGTCCGTACAAAGATTTTTAGGGTTTCGTGGCCCATGGCCGAAAGCCTTATAGTTTCACTTTGGCGTCCGTCTGTCCGTAGTACAAACCAAAATAGTTGACATGTCCCAGTAGTTGACCTGTCTCAGTAATTGACATGTCCCAATAGTTGACATGTCCCAATAGTTGACATGTCAATTATAGGGACATGTTAACTATTGGGACATGTCCCTATAGTTGACATGTCTCTATAGTTGACATCTCCAAGAGCGTCCGTCTGTCCGTAGTACAAACCCCAATAGTTGACCTGTCTCAGTGACATGTTAACTAATGGGACATGTCCCAGTAGTTGACATGTCCCTATATTTGACATGTCTCTATAGTTGACAACTTCAAAAGCGTCCGTCTGTCCGTAGTACAAACCCCAATAGTTGACATGTCCCAGTAGTTGACCTGTCTCAGTAATTGACATGTCCCAATAGTTGACATGTCTCTATAGGGGCATGTCCCAGTAGTTGACATGTCCCTATAGTTGACATGTCTCTATAGTTGACATCTCCAAGAGTTGACATGTCTTAATAGTGGACATTATCGAATGGACATTTTGCCTAATGTTTTTGTTTGTGAATCAAAAAAGATAAATGATAGAAGAAAGACCTCCACTCCGCAGCCACTCTTTCTTTTTTCTTTCATTTACCTTTTTTATCAATTTTGATTTTTGCCAATTTTTGATTTTTATTTTAATATTTTATAAAATTTAATAGTACATAAAATTTATAAAATAAATTTTATTATTTATTTTTAAATTATTTATTTTTGATTTATTTTTTTTTTAATTAAACTTCAAAGCGCCACGAAACCCTAGATGTAGGCGCAATTGCGCCTAGTTCTTTTCCTATTTTTTTAATTTTAACACACGATCCTGGTCCAAAAATAACAGCTTCCACAAAAGATTCGTTATTTTCTTCTTCCGCACTTTCGAAATCACCTTCGGAATTCGTTTCCTCCGATTTTTCTTCCTTGTTTTCTTTCTCACTAGCATCCTTATTTTCAGTTAACACAGAGTCAATGTCTTGTGATGCACTTTCACTTTCACTACGAATATCTTCAAAATCAAAAGTTAATTTTTTACCACAGGATTCTTTTTCAGATTCGTTGTGTATTTTTCTAATGAGTTCATCCTCCAAGAAGATTACATCTCTACTCTCAATTATTTTTCTCGTTTCAGGGTTATACAAACGGTAAGCCATAGCTGTCAATGAATAACCAACCAAAATGTGTTCTTCACCTTTTGCTCTAAATTTTTTTTTGTTTTTTATTTAAAGCAATTGCTCTTGATCCGAAAATTTTTAGGTGTGAGACTGTAGGTTTCTTGTTTGTCCATACCTCATACGGTGTTTTTTCAATCAGTGTCCTCGTTGCACATCTATTTTTTAAATATGCTGCTGTCCGAATGGCTTCTGCCCAAAATGATTCATCCATGTCAGAATACACCAACATGCTCCTGGCCATTTCGACGAGAGTCCTATTCGCTTGTTCCGCCATACCGTTTTGTTGTGGGGTGTACGCGACACTCAATAGTCTTTTAATACCTCTTGCAGTCAAGAAATCTTCGAATTCCCGACTAAGATATTCACGACCGTTATCGCTTCGAATTGTTTTCAATTTCTTTCCGCACTGTTCTTCCGCAAAAACAACGAAGTCTTTAAACGCCGCGAAAATCTCATCTCTCGTTTTCAAAAAATACACGAATACATAACCGCCTGTCGATGTTTTGTTTATCGGTCCACAAATGTCAGTATGCACTAAACTTAAGAGTTCATTTGCTCGATTTTGCTATTTTTTCGGAAAAGGTTTTACACTGATTTTACTTTTCGCGCATGTTTCACATACAGAGTCTTCCGCGTTTGTAATTTTTTCGGATAACTTCAATCCATGTACAATGTTTTTCGATGACATTTCTTTTAAACTACTAAAGTTTAAGTGTCCAAGCCGGTTATGCCATTTTATTGTCTCACTGTTTTTCGCGTCTGAAAACAAACACTGATTCGTTTTAATATCAGCAATAAACAGATTGTTGCAATCTTTCGCTTTTAGAATTATCGAATCCTTTTTGTCTTTTAAATACGCGTGCTTTCCTTCGAAACTCACTTTGAAACCCTGTTCAAGAGCTTTCGAAACCGAGATAAAATTAGTTTGTAAATCTTTCACGTACAAAACGTTTTGTAATTTATGACGATAATTTTCCGCACTAAAACTTTGTCCTTTTCGTTCTCTTTCTTAGTTTCACTTTTATTTTCACTACACTGAACAGCGAGGTGTCCGGGTTTACCGCACTTATAACATTTTCTGTTTTTCTTTCGTTTGAAATCCTTGTGTGAATTTTGTTTCTGATTACTCTTTTGAGTACGAGACACAAACACTTGCTGTATATCCGAAGATGAGTCACTGTTTCCTTTCTGTCTCTCTCCTTCTTCGATGAGTTTTATTTTCAAATCACTGAGACTTGGTAAATTATCGCGCGTTTTGATCGCGACAACAAAACCTTCAAATGACTTTCCGAGACCCGAAAGTAGAAGAAGCGTTAAAATATCATCATCGATATTCAAACCAATTTCGACTAATTTCTCAACTAAATCTGAGAATTCGTTCATATACTTTTGTACATCTACACATTCGGTAAGACTCAGACGCAGTAGTTTTTTAATTAGCATTATTTTTCTCGCGGTGCCTTTCTAAGCTTTCTTAGAAGTTTTACAATTTTTAATCAGAATTATATCCGACGGTTTCATACTTAAAGTTATGCTGGCTAGTGCTTTTTCATCCTTTCTATCGTAATCTGCATTTTGTTGAGGAGTGCTTTCTTCCGTTTTGATGAATCTTCCGCAGACCACAGACCATAGATCAGCATGCACCAAGACGCTTTTCATTTGCACCGACCATACTGCATAATTTTCACTATCGAGTCTATCGATTGCATATAAACCTTGTCCACTAATTTTTAGACTTTGTCCTTTCTCAATGTCACACGTGGTAATGAGATTTTAGAACACTATTCACAGAATACTCTTTAGTACTTTAACCCATTAACGACCGCCAGGACGAAAAATTTACCTTCACTTAGCAGCTGTTATTTTATATGAAAAAATAATTCAAAAAATTCAGGATAGCCCATTTCTAACGTAAAATTTATCGCTCTTTTCGATTCTGAAGTCCAAATTTAATTATATTTAAATCCTTAATATTTATAACAATTTTATTGCAAAAAAACATGATTTTCTGCAAAAAAATTTTTATTCAAAAAATATTTTGACATGGAAAACGACAGTTAATTTGCTCCGGAACCCAAAATATCGCGTCCTCGAATACCCAGCTACAAAACTATATAGTTGTGAATTTCAAAATTTAAGATGGCGAACGACAAAATGGCGATATTCCACTAAAAAAGATTTAAAAAATACTATTTTGCAAAAAATAATATATTGATGAATTATTTTTATTTCTGCACTATATACTTATGTTTTTGGGT